TAAATAAACAAAAACAATTATTACAAAGAGAAACAACTTATCTTTAAATTTTTTGTTTTACTTTTTTTTTCAATTTTTGAGGGTTTTTCATTGAGTATAAGGAAAAATGCATTAAATTAAAGAAAATAAAAGACAAATACTAGTAAAAAAAAAAATACCATCAAACTATTGTATGAACACTTGAGCTTCATTAATTACCAACTAAGATCAACATTGATGGCTGGACCAAAGAGAACTTTTTAAAAGAAAATTTAAACAAAATCAAATTCAGAGAAAAAAATTGAAAGAAAAGAAATAATATCTTTGAAACACTGACACTACTTCACAAAGGTCAAGCAATTACTCTGATTTTTTTAGATTTAAATAAAAAAAATAAAAATATCAATAGAACGAAATAAATCATTTTACCAAATATCAATCGGGCATAAATGGATCAATACTTGCACGAATATGTTGAAATCGAGCCATTCGCATAAAGATAAACGATTACACTAACCTCAAGAATCCGTTAGCCAACCTAGGCTCATGTAGCATATGAACTACCACTTATAATTTTGTGGATCATTGTTCTTCAATTCACCTTCACATGTCATGACGACAACAAATTTCACCTTTTTTTTTTCTTCTAACGTCTAGCATAGAAAATATTGTTTCTATAAAAAAGGAACAACAAAGATTTTTTAATAATGCTAACAAATTGTAATTATTTAACAAAACTATTTGATAATTTGATTGGACTTAAAATTAATCAAAAATATATTTATGATTGGGCCTAAAAAAAAAGCTTCTAGTATTCATTTAAAAATTTCAATTTATTGTGTGAGACAAAGTTCAATAAATCACTTTATAAGAAAAAATCAATAATAATAAAATGACGGGACTCCCAATTAAGATAGAAAAACATTATCAACGGTCTAAACTGGTGAATATCTTGATCATCCCCCAAAGAAAAAAATCAAACTGATTGATAGACTTCTTGATTATAATTAAAGCACTCACATAATTGCTACTCAAAATATCCTTATCAATCATATAGCTATGACATCATATTAGTCAGTTATGAAATTATTCAAAATTATTGCTTTATCTTCTTCCTTAAATATCTCACTTATTCTTTATAATTGAGTAACCAATCTGGTCAACTTCATTGATTCATAAAAATTTAATAGGATTTGATACTCAACTTGGTTATATTTATTAGTGAAAAAAAAATTTAATAATTGTAAAGAATTATAATCACATTAATAATAAATAGCATTTAAACTCACATGTAATCAAACTTAATACAAACAATCACTAACCAAACAAAAATCAATCTAAACTAAAACAATAAGCACTCATGTTTGATATCTAAAAATCTCAAATCAGATATCAACCAATTACATTTATGGACACTCTCCCTTTATCTCATGAGATGTCTACAAACCAAATCTCACAAAATTTTACAGCTATTTTTACATTTTTATATTATATCATATCCAATTGAAATTCATTATTTATAAATTTATTAACTTGGGGATCTAATGAATTTATCACAAAACAGTATCTTTAAGAAATTCAAAAATATCTCCAAAATGTTTTTCATCAAAATTTTGAGATTTGAGTTGATATTTGAACACATCATTCTAACAATAAATGGTCCAATGGAGCTGTCAACAAAGAACGAGTCCGCTTTCTTTCACCAATGCCATGAATAAATTCTACTGCCTGCAATTAGCAGCAAGTAATTCCCTAGGACAGTAGGCTTTGGGTTGGGCCTTGTAAAGCAAATCCAAAGAATTTGGAGCAATGTCGGCTTCGACGAGGAACTTGTCCCAACTAGTCAAGATTATTTCACATATTCTAAATATTTTAATTTTTAATAGTTTTTAACAAATACAAAAATTATAATACTCTATATAATTCGTATTTGTTGGATTTGCTGAAAGTTGAAAAAGATGATACGTGCAACCTATAAAAACTTATTCACTAAACAAGTTTGGCTTTCAAACTTTTTTAATTTGGGCAAATCTCATTGTCTCCAAATAAAAAGACTTGGTGTTAAAATAATATATAGTTGATTGGGTGGAGTCAAGTATATATTGAGAATAGTGATTTAAATCTTATAATAAATTTACTTAAAATTGATTAGACATAACTTGATGAATAAAAAACTTGTAAGAGAAAATTTTCAAGTGAAAAGAGATTTTTTATAAATAAGTTAATATAGTTATAAATAGGTGGAATCCCCATAGGACAAGGTATAAGAAAAAAAATGTAAGAAAATTGTAAAATTTTATAAGGACATCCCATAAAATTATTGAAAATTTACCTCTTATAAGTGTGTATATTTGAATGTTCATGAGTAGATTAGAAGAGATTGAAAAACTTCACATAAATATAATACATAGGTGCACATGGGTATATATTTGTTTGGGTTGAAAATACTTCATGAGACCTTAATTGTTGAGTGAGATTGATTTGATGTATATTTATAATTCTCTATAATTAATGAATATTTTGTTATCCATGAATATAAATTAATTGGACCGAATCGTATTAAATTATTATTTCTTATGTGATTAATTTATTATTTGTTTATATTTTTACTAATGTGATTGGACTGGGACTATTTGACCTAACAGTATAAAAGTACAATTCATTTAAAAAAAAGCAGCCTCTATAATTTAAATAAAACTAATCCAAGGAAAAAACAATGAAAGAAAGAAAGAAGAAAAATATATATCTGGAAGAGCATTTAAGGCCTAGAGGGTTGGGAACTGCAAGAAGTTTTTCTTTTTTTTCGTCAATTATATATTAATTAGCAATCTCTCTCTCTATATATATATTTTCTCTATGGACAAGCTTGCCTAACTAGTGAAAATTTGTCATCTTTCAGCAAAAGAAGAAAGAAAAACTAACAATTGATTCAAACACGAAGAAAACGACAAACAAAATGCCTGCTCTAAGCCAACAAAAAGAAAGAGTTGTATCGTGTGAATAACTTTGTTACCTCTCCCTATATAACAAGACTAACTTCCTCCTTGCCATAACCCCTTATTTCTTTTTCTCTTTTCCCACCATCGATCTAAGAAAGAATTGAAGGAAAAACTGTCCAGGTTTTCGATGTTGAGAAAGCAGGGTATCTGTAGTTTACAAAACATCCCTTGTCTAGTTCTAATATAAAAGCTTTTTGCAGATAAAGCTTTGGCTAGTTTTCTTTGCAGAGGTCTTGACACTTAAGTTGAACCTTGGGAGTTCAATCACCAACTTATTGCTGTAAACGCTAGCCTGCCAGAAAGTTGATAATGTTTCTCTATCCCAATTGAGAGCCCTATCATTTTATTATTATTGTTTGTTTCTTGTAAAGTGATTTATTAAGCCTTACCTCACATAACAAATTGAAAATTTTAAATCTTTTAAATCATAATTTATCAGTTCAAAATTGAAATTTTTAAATGAATATTAAAAGCTTTTCTTTTTAAGCCCAACCATAAATATGCTTTTGATTAACTCTAAGTCCAACCAAATTAACCTATTAATCAAATTATCAAACAATTTTGTTAAATAATTACAAATTGTTAGCATTATTAAAACAACAAAACAATGACCCACAATATTACAAGTGGTGGTCCATATGCTGCACTAGTCAAGACTGGCTAGCGGATTCTTGAGGTCATTATAATCGCTTATATATCTTCATGCAAATCACTCGATTTCAGCACATTTGTGCAAGCATTGATTTATTTATGCCCGATTAATAATTGGTAAAGTAATTATTTCATTCTATTGATTTTTTTATTTTCTTTTAAATTTAAATATAATAAAGTCAAAATAATTGCTTGACTTTTGTGAAGTAGTGCCAGTGTTTCAAGGACATTATTTCTTTTTTCTCACTCTTTTTCTCTGAATTTGACTTTATTTAAATTTTCTTTTGAAAGGTTCTCTTCAGCATAGCTATAAATGTTGATTTTAGTCAACAATTAATGGAGCTCAAACGTTCACACAATAGCTTGATGGTATTTACTTTTTTTTTTACCTAGTATTTCTCTTTTATTTTCTTTAATATAATGCATTTTTCCTTTTACTCAAGGAAAAACCCTTAAAAATTAAAAAATAAAAAAATAAAACCAAAGATTTAAAGATAAGTTGTTTCTCTTTGTAATAATTGTTTTTGTTTATTTAGAGAGAAGAAATATAAATTTGATTTTTTTAAATAAAAAATAAATTTATTTATCATTAAATCAAATATTCAAGTGCATAATTGAATAAGATACTAACATGTTTAATGATTCCAAATTATTCATTTCATATTTTATGTCTAATTTTGATCACTTTCATTTATTATTAATTTTTTTAAATTTTTTGACATAAAAATTGATAAATATAGTTAATGATATTAGGACAATATTAATTGGGTTTACACTTTATACTAACAATAATGATGTTGCTTGATTGGTTTCTTAATATTTTTGAGATACTTTTTTTTATAAGAATATTTCATCTAAGGACTAATCTCTACAATCCATGTGGCTAGATGAAGCGTGGAGGATTAGGAAATTAAGGGGACCAATCAATGTTCTCCATTTCTGTTAGCTTATGTTAAAACAAGCCATTCAAATATTCACTAGAGAATAACTAAGCAGCAAGATAAATCCATGAGAGAAATCCCAACATCCGGTTTCAAACTAGGGTGTAGCCAAATTTATCTATCCACGTAGCAATCAGTAAGTAAAGTCTAAATAGCACATAGTCAGCATTAAAAAGCCCTAGCAGATTTTTCAGTAATAATTTTATTTCACAAGAAAATGAGCAATGCACGGCGACAAGACATGTAACCAAGTAAAAAACTTAGATCTCCGCCATCCAGAGAAGGGACAACATACATCAAACTAAAATCTAATAGTATAGCAAATGTAAGAGCAAGGCAAACATCATCCAGCAAAACAGCCTATACAAAAAAAGGGAAATAATAACCAAAACAAATTATCAAAATAAAAAGAGGTAAAATCGAAACGTACCCTCAAACGATCAGAGAGAATAGAGGGAGTGATAAGCTTGTATTTAGGAGCTTCAGAGAGAAGCTTGCCATAGGTAGCCTGGTCAAACAGCACCATGTTGTTCATCTTCTCCTTTTGCTTTTCCTTGCTCCACTTCTGTTAATACAACAAAGAAAAAAAAAAGACAAAACAGAAACCCACTTCTTATCTAACTCTAAAAAGCAGATAATCAACCCCATTCAAAGCATGGTAAAGGAAACATATAGTAATAAAAAATGACCTCCATCTTTTGCTTGCCACCTTCAGACTTTGCCGGCTTGGAGGAAGGATGAGGGGCTTTTTCTTTCTTTGGGGCCTGCAAAAGCAAACCAAAAATAAGATAGTTGTCAATCTAAAACAAAGACTGAAGAATCTGATGCATTCAAGAATAAAGAGAGGGAGATGAACATACCTTGGGATCAGCACGAAGTGAGGGAGAAAGGGACCGAGAGGATCTGTGTGCGACGAGACAGAAGGAAGGGGAGGTGAAAGACTACTTCTAACCCTTGGGTTTTTTAGTACTGCTATTCATGACCTACAAACGCCGTCGTTTAGTTCTCAAAGTGTAAACCTAAGTAACTTACCCACCTCGGACCAATGTTTTGCAAAACGGGCCCATCAGTGACAAGCAGAAGACAACAGGCCCAAAGCCCATACTCTAATTTTAAAGCATATTTACAATCCTATTTTTTTATGAGATAAAGTTTAAATTTATCATTAATATTTTAATTGGTGAAATTTTAGCATCCTACTTCTAATTTTATAACATATTTACGGTCATACTTTTCATTTTAGATTATTTAAAAAATATTTAGTAAAATATTATGTTAGAAGCTATTTTACAATTTAAAAATACTTTTAAAAAGGAAAAAAATAGTGCTAAAATATTTTTTATTTTATCAGGACATTTTTTACTAAATATAATATCCTATATCTTGAAATTTTCTTTTTATTTTATTGAAATTTTTTACTAAAATAATTTCACATCTTACTTTTTTAATTGATTTTGATTTTTTTTTCTACTGTCGTCATTTTCAATTTTACTTTGAATTATAAAATAACTTATAACTCAATATTCTACAGAATATTTCTTTAACTATTACATTTTAATCAAATTTATTTTGAAATTAAAAGTACGATGATAAATTTGTTTAAAATTAAAAGTATGATGATCAAATTTGCTTTACTTCTGGTAGTGGGAGCCAAAAGGCTCGAAAGGTAATATTTCTGCTCCTTTTCAATGGAAATTTCATCAAACACAGAAGAACTACTATTTCCCCAATAGATTCATCGAAGAACAATAACATCAAGCATCATTAATTATTTCAATTTCAAACAGCTTTGGTTGCTTTATAAGCATGAATTACCACTGGCTAGCAGCAGTGATAACAACATTATTTTGGCATGATACTAATAGTTTTACAGTACATAATTAACAAAGATCATCAATTAGAGATTTTGATTTTTGATGATTTTATCAGTAGAATTTGCAGAAACAAGCCCGTCCCCAACCATCCCAGCGACAGCATCCACCAAGCTTGGAACTCTCCCATTTCCTGCACTGATCGGCACAGTGGCTAGAGTATACACACAACCCGAACCATGTTTTGCTCCGCCTTACACATGTTGCTTCCGCCACCCTCACCTCTGCAAAATGTCCAATCAGTATCAAACAAATTAAGATGATCAGCTATAAAACACCAGAATAATTTACACGACTTATGGCAAAATTTCTGGTCTAAGATACACACTAACTTTTACTGTCATTTCATACAGACAATTGCAAAGTAATTCTAGAAATGGGCAAAAGCAAAAGTACTTGTACTACTGCTAACCTGTGTTAGCAAGAAAGATGAGGATCAAGAAGATTGCTGCTAAGTAAACAGGTTTCAGAGTACTGATCTTAGCCAAGTTTTGTTTCAGCTTTAGGGTACTAATGATGTTTTCAATGGGACAAGATTAGATGCAAACATTATGGGTTATTTATATATAGCCAATCTAGGTTCAGTTCATCTATATCTAATTTGGTCCAAATCTTGCTTTGGAACAAGATTAGAGGAACAAGAAAACAAAAAAAATCAGAAGGTAATAACCTTTCAGAACATGCAAAGAAGGAAGTAACAAATTCAAGGTACTTCATTTAAGTTTCAGTTATTCTAATTCTCATGATTTTATCGTTTCCATGATTTTCGGGATTTGTCATTAGGAGAAAAAAGGTCAGATTTTGCAGATTAATATAGAATCCTGTTTAATTAATAGATATCCAGCCATCGGGGTCTTTGCTAATCAGAAGGATGTGTATATATCTTTACCCTACTTAATTTTCTAACTTAATCAAATTCTAGAGATGAGTGCTGAATCAAATTCTTCACAATTTAAAGAGCACCGATCCATTGTAATGCTTGTACAAATTAAGATCGCAACAAAAGATAGCCATTGGACTACGTGATATTGCATGCGTTTCTTTGAATTTTTGCTTCTCAAATAAGTGATAAGTGATGCAAAGTTTTCCAGTCAAACTGTCTCCAAGTAATGTGCCCGGCTATAACTGACAAAAAATTTAAAGGTTGAAGATTTAGAGGTGGTAACAGACAAATGAGGCTTTAATTTAGTGATAAGAAAGAGGTTTTAAAATTTCATGTTCAAATATAATGATATGAGGATTGACTTATGACATAACTTAATATGATTTATGAGAAGAAGATAGAAAAATATCTTTTACTTCATTAATTGAATATAATTTACGGTAATATTAGTTACATTAACCGATAGAACGAGAAAATATGTTTTTGCAGTTTAAAATTCTAATTTAGAGATTCAGGGTTCTAAGGAACTCAGAACTATGGTTGGAATTAATCCAGTTTAAGCTTCTTGTGGAAATTCAGCTCCTGACAAAGGTTGCTGGAGTTACCATAGGGAAGCTTAATGGGGTTTAAAGAGTAAAGACACTGCTAGAGATCCTTTTAGTACTGCTTTTTGTCAGAACTGGGCGCGGTTCAGCTCTGCAATTTTTGTTTTTCCTTTGGTGACTGCTACTTTTCCTGCATAATATATATGCAGGTTTGTTCTTCGTAGCAGGGAACTTCCTACTGCTTTTGGATATTGTTGATGCAAGAATTGTTGGACCGACGTGACTTAATGTATGATATATTGTTTGCTACGAAGGATTGACATGGTTTTACCTTTTGATAAAAAACGCCTCAATAACTTATTGTGAGATTTAAAATTTTAGCTTACACACGAAAAACAAAACAATCTTGGATGGAAAATTAAGGAAAATGGAGAAATTAAGCCTGCAAATCTCCATCAAAAGCTACTTGGTGGCCACCTTTGCATTAATTGAAGTACAACTATTATTTATTACAGAACACTGATGACCCGAAGTACAAGGAGCAATCATGACAACAATATTACTATTTGTTGGTTTCGACAGAAACCATTTCTTATTTAGTTAGAAAAGCTAGATTTGACTGAATGCTGACTTAATCCACAAGGGGTAATATAACATCGGCAATGCCTTTTATCTCAATGACAATTGAAGTAGCAGAAACATGCAAATCCAGGCTACTGCCAGTGGCAAGCACCATGCACCGCTTTCTCTTGTTTACTGCACTGGTAGTCACAGTTGTTTGAGCTGAGACACACGCCTTTCCATGTCTTGCTACGCTTTGAGCATATTTTTGCTTCCACAGCTGGTATTTTTGTAAGACACAAAATATATATAATCTCCTGTTAGCGAAGCCAAGTAAGACTATATATATATATGTAGCCTGGGATCCAAATTAATACATGTGAAAATATCCACGTACCCTGATTTGCAAGAAGGATGATGATGAAGAAGAGAGCAAAGAAGTGGACAGATTTAAGAGTCTTAGCCATGTTTTCTTGCTTTTGCCAAAGAGCCAGGATGTTAGGCTATTTATAGGAGACATTGCTTGATGGATAATAAAACAAATGGAGGATATAAACAAAAATGATATATCAATCATCATATCATTCAATTCCCAGTTTAGTACTCCGAAATCCATGCTCTTATTGTTTCTGAAGTCAAAATATCACTGGCAATATATTTGAGTAAGGTTCTGGTTGACTTCAAATTTCAGTACTGCTTGATTCTTGCCGGTTGCTGGGTGATATGCTTCGAATTCAAGAAAAAAGCATACATAAATTATAATTGCTCGAAGTTGAAGCCACTAATCTGCCACAATATATTTGTATCTCTTGTTTCAAAGAGAAGGGTGAAAGATAGAACATATGCATGAATGAAAATTCAATGACACTAATATATAATTGTATTGATCAACTTAATTATCGTTATTAAGATAATAAGATCTAATCAACAAAATTAAAGGAGATAATTAACATCTAATCAACAAGTTTTTTTTTTTTTTTTGGCATATCTTTTTTTATCCTGTTTATATAGAAAGGAAATAGGAAAATGAAGGATTTATTTTATTTGTTTTAGCTTTAGGATGTTCATAAAAAAAGAATCAAAACAAAGGGAGCAAAGAAAAAAATTAGTGGGATCCAACTCAATAGCCTAGGAATCCAACGTGTGTTGATATGAGGGTGTGGGGAGGCAGGCAAGCAAACCAAAGGCATAATTCTGAAATCATATCATCAGAAATTAAGAATTATATGTGATTCTTTGCTCTCGTGTTATTGAATCAGCTCCCACTCCTAGCGGAGAGGGAAGAGTCTGATGTTCCATCAACTCAAAAAAGATCATCAAACATTAAATTTTATTATTATTATTATATTAATCAAATCAATCCAATGGATTTGGAATTTTTTTTTTTTTATAAAACCTTTACAAGTGAGAAAATTCATATTAGTTTCTTAAAAGAAACGTTTACATTTAATTAAGACTTTATTTGAATGAATGGTGAAATTGATTTTGATGAATTTGAAAATAGTAATAAAAATTATCATCGTTGTAATTGAAAAAATTTATTATTGTAATTATAATTAAAAAAATTAATAAAAATTTATATTAAACAAATTTCACTGAAATTAATATTTAAATTTAATTAATAGTGTTATGAACTCATTTATACCACACCAAAAATGCGATGAAATCTAAACGGGACTAAATTCTTATCAACAGATGACTAGAAGGACCCATCTCCACAAAAACTTCATAGTATGAATTTATTTAATTTGTTTTTCCAATTTGAAGTTATGAGATTTAAAAAGTAATATATTTTACTTAAAAAATAAGGTGACATGTAATTCATAAAATACATTAAAAGATTGAGATATGTTAGTTTTATAATTCGATTTATAGAGTTAAAAAAATTCTACTTACATTATATAAAAAATAAAATCTTATATATTATTTATTTTTGTACATTTTTTATACATTGATAATAAATTTTTTTAATTCTTAAAACAAAATTAAAAGATTGTCACATATTTTTTTAATTATTTGTTACTTTTTATTATACTCTAAAAGATATATATATATATATATATATATTATCTTACTAACTTTGTTTATGAAATCTAAAGTTTTCACTATTATTAAAGATTTTGAAAAAGGAATTTCCTTAATTGGGCATTCTCAACTCAATCAAGAAAAAAAAATAGAGGTGTCAAATTAATTTGGAATAATTAATACGCTTAATATTACTTGAAGAAATTAAAAAAATATATCTTACATAATTCAGATAACTAAAAGATCGTTATAAAAATTTTTTCATTAGATATTTCAAAATGAAAAGCTAAATGAGATTATTATGCTTTTGAATGTCCTTGTAATGGTTCTCATTTGTAACCTTCTCCATTTATTTTGTTCCTCCTAAAGTATGGTTGCTTTTTTTTTTTTCCTAATAAAAAACAATTCGTGTCAAATGCACAATGGATGAGATTAGCAATCTTTAGTTCTTTAGTTACTTTTTTTTTTTAAGAAAAAAAAGTATCTTTTAATGTCTACATCAATCATTTTTAAAACAAAATTTTCTACTGTAATATTGTTATTATAGTTAAAAAATTTTAATTTAAAAAAGTACATATAAAAGTGTTATAAAAATTATTTTAAAAAATTATAATTTAAGATTTTTAAGTATTTGGTATTATTGTAAAAAATTAAAATATCTAAAAAGTATATGATTTTGAAAAAAATAAATTATTTTTATAAAAAATAAATAATTAAATGAATATTTAATCATTTTATTTTAAAATCATAAATTTTAAACTATAACTACACCTTTTAATTAATTTTTACCATTGATTCATTTTTAATGGACAAAAAACAATTTTAATACAAAATATTGTTACATTCAAAAATTATATTTTAAAATTCAAACGCATGACTGAGGGGTCATTTGTTTTTATTTTCATTTTTTGTTTTTTGGTTTTATTTTTAGTTTTTTTGAAAATTGAAAATAAAAACATGTTTGGTAGGTTTTTTTATTTTCTTATTTTGAAAACTGAAAACAAAATTTTTTAAAACTTTTGAAAATTGTTGAAAATAGAAAAATGATGTTTTTAGTTTTTTGTAAATAATTTGATATTTTTATCACATAGGCATTGTTTACGAAAATTACAATTAAATTACTACAGTAACGTTACAATTATTATATTAATAAAATAATACTTTTATTATATAAATAATATATTAATAAATATTGATATATTTATTATATAACTATTATTATATTAATAAATAAATGATATTATATTACTAAAATATTATTAATATAATATATTAATAAATAATATATCAATAGATATTATTTATTAAATATTATTATATTTAAATATAAATAATATTGTATTAATAAATAAGTAATATATTATTTACTAATATAATATAATATATTAATAATATATTACTAAATAATATATTATTTATTAATATAATAATATTATTAATAAATAATATTATAATATATTAAAATAATATGTTAATAACATTATAATATATTAATAATATTATAATATTATTATAATATTATTATATTATTAAATAATATATTATTAATATAATAATATTTATTAATATAATTTAATCAATAACATTATAATACATTAAAAATAATATATTAATAAATATTATTATATTAATATTATTATATTATTAATAATAAATAATGTTTAAAAACTTTAACCATTAATAAATAACATTATAATTCATTAAAAATAATATATCAATAAATATTATTATATTAATATTATTATATTATTAATAATAAATGATGTTTAAAAACTTTAACCATTTTTTCTTACATAGTTTATTTTCCCATTTGTAATCAAAAATATTATATCTAAATATATTTTAAAATTTAATAAATTAAAAATAAAATAAAACAAAATTTTAAAAATATAAAATATAAGTATACCAAACCACCCCTTTTATCCAGCGGGCAATTAAGTTCTATTAAAACGAAAACATCCAAATACCACGTGGCATCGATTAAAAAAAAAAAAAAGAGAGGTCTCACTCTATAATTAGTGGGTCTGAGGCAAGCTGAGGTCTGACTCTGAGAAGTCTGAGGTTACGTGGCAACGACTTAGTGAGTAAGGAAAGGGTTATGGAAACTTATAGATGGACCGATCTGTGGTGCCACGTGGCTGACTTTCAACTTAATAATCAACTGGACAAGTCAATGTCATATGGATTGAAACTTTTTTTTTTCGTTATTCTTTATTACCTAAACTTAACGTCCATATCAATGGATGATGAAGTTGATTTTAATAATATTAAAAATAATAATTATTATTATTATAATTATGATTAAAAAATATTTTAAATAAAAATTTTATTAAAATTGATATTTAAATTTAATTACATTATATTGGAGGTGTAGTTACATCCAAATATAGATTTAATGAGTGTGTTAGCAAAACCCCCATAAAAAGAACAATAAATTAGTTGACAAACAATTGTTCTGTTCTTTCATGAAAGGCAAGTTAACAGCACATTCATGGGTTTTGGTGTTTCTTGTAAAAGCTTGTTGCCTGACAGGCTAATTGTAGCATGGAAAACATGAAATTCAATAAAGATAGCAAAGGGGTAGTACAAATTAAAGCACTTTGCTCTTTGTGAGTGGTGAGATAAAAAGAGCAATAATGCTGTGGAAAAACAAAACCAATAACACAATAACAGCATATATTTTCAAAATGTATATTAGTAAATGAAAGAAATATGAATCTGGGATTAAGTTATTGATTTATAAAAAATATCACTCACAATATATTCTTCTTTTATTTTCAAATGGTATCCTCTTTTGTAAAAAAGGAAAGAATATAATGTATTTTTCTTTTGAAAAGAATTCGAATAAAAAAGAAAGAGAAAAAAAAATTGAAATATAAAAAGTTTATATTCTTCGGCTCTATAAATAGCATCCATGTACAGATTTGGAGTACTCAAGAACATAAATATTCCCAAACCAAAGAACAAAGAGGAGATTAGAATTTAATCCATACAGAGCAAACAGAGTAGATAATAGCTCACTCTGTTTCCTCTGTTTTTTCCATCCCCACCTTCCCTTTCAGTCTGTTTTTTCCATGGACTTAATCACCAAATCCTCCTCAGCACCTACGATGATTTTAGTAGCCTGCTTGAACTGCTTCTCTTCTCTACTTAGAGAGACGGTTGATGCTCAAGCTTCCATGCTAATCCAATTCTCTTTCGAGTGATCATACATAGAATTTGTCATCCCAAAAGAAAAGAAATCAAAACCAATTGTTGCCTTGGGCTTTCCTTTGAATTCCTTTTGTAAATGGATACATTTGACATAAAACTTGAGAAGAGAAACGCAATCTTGAAGCATCGTCACTTGTGCAAGATAGCAAACTTGTTCAGGTTTGTTGAGGTTTGTGTTGTTCTGGTATTAATCTCCAGGTTCACAACTCATCTCCCAGTAGCTGTTAAAAATTCTGGTGAGTATTTTCGGGGCTTCTCAGTTGTTCTTGTGAGCCCTCACTTTGTGTTCATCCTTGGGAATGCTATAATCATCACTCTCTTTGCAAAGGCTGGGCAGTTTTCAGCTCAAGATTCCACTTCAGGAACTGATCTTTACGAAGAATTTGTTGAGAAGAGTGAGAAAAGTCAGGCAATTCATCGATATGAAATCGAAAAACAAAGTAAGAAGAGTGTAACTGAAGAGAAAATAATTGTGCATACTTACAATGGAACAAAAAATTATAAAAAAACTCAATCAGAGAACCTTAAGCGAGTGAACTGCAATAAAGCTTGCCAGCAACTCAGGACATTGGAATCAGAGAAGTACAGAAAACCCAATGAGTCTGATAAGAAAATGGTGAAAAATTCAAATCCTGAAGATGGAATGAGCAGTGAGCAGTTTCGCAACACCGTTGAGGCTTTCATTGCCAGGCAAAAAAAGCTTCTAGGGGAAGAAGAGTACTCGGTGATATGGAAAGGTTCAGAGTGACAAAGCAAGCAAACCCTGGTGCTCCCTTGTCCTATTTTTGTGATAGTTTTTATGCTTTTGATTTTGCCTTTCCTCTCGTTTGCCTATACTGCTATGTACATGGTTAATCAATCATGGTCTTCAATGAAATATCTCTATTAAATCGTTTTACTTCGGAGTCTCTAGTAGTAGCTTATTCTCCTAGTTTCAATGTTGGATTTAAAACTTTTGTACCTTTTTTCTGGAAATGCTTGAAACTGTGATGCTTGCCTATGCAAGAAAACCAGTCTAGATGTCGGAAAATAACGAATCTGAACCTTATCTGAGTGATGTGAAAAGCAAAATTCTGTTTTAGATTGCAGATATTGTCCTGATGAAAATTGGATTTAAGCAGATAAGAAGAATTTCCAACTGTGTTACCACTCACCCTATATTATATGCCCCTACGTCATCATGCTTTCGGAATGTATTCCAAATTTTGTTCTATAAAAATCATATCATTTAGATGCCGAAGGCCGATCCTGGAATTCGAATGTCAAATCGGAGGGCAAAGCGTAAAGCTGAACTAGCAAAGCAATCCACCTTTCAAAAGGACTATAATCCACCTTGAAAAAAGCAACTTTAGCTAGCTTTACTTAAATCTTCAAATCACAAGCTAAAGCAAGACTGATATTTTTTTTGGCTTAAATCTTAATGGTACAAGAACAGCAGTCGGTAAAGCCAGTTGGTTTGACTCACACAGGAGTTGGGTTTAAGCATAAATGCTAAGTTAAAAAATCTATAATCGTCTGTTCCTTTTTCTTGTTTTGTTTTGGATAATTATCATATTCTTGTCTCGTCACTTGGATTAGATTTGTGCCCGTCAGCACCTATCAGAATTGACTCAATTATAAACAAATTTCAGACATGTCTAGTTCAGTTGTCTGTTGGCTACATCCGTGGGGTACTTAAAAGAAAGTTCTTGTTCTAAATTCTAATAATTTGCCAGTTGGACTCGGTTGTTGAGAATAAAATAAAATGCGCTTGGTTGATTAGTTGAGAGTATATCACTTGGAAGGAAAGATGTAGATGACAGACTTTTTTTTAGGCTGTCAAGATTTGATTTTTATCGCTAAAATTAAGAGTTCGATACTCTAATAATAGAACATATGATTATTGTTCTTACAATGTCGGAAAAGGAAAAGAAAAAGGTGGTCTCTTTATGACATAGAAAGAGCAAGAAAACAAGCTTCCATTGACCCCCTTCCCTCCTCTCTTCTTTTCTTCCTTTCAGGATGAACAAAGACTTTGAGATTCTAACAGCCTGAACTGTTTAAAAACTACAAATTTGGCGCAGACAACAAGTGGATTGATATGGACAAGTGAAAAGGTGCCATTATAAACTTTAAAACTTTCTATAAAGCTTATTCTGTTTCAGATATTTTCAAATCAAACCCACAAATTCATAAACCTCCAGGGTTTTTACAGACCATATTCCACCAAATATTCAGACTCGAAGAATCTTATTGCGATGTTTAATTTCTTTTGGGCTGGGCCTGGAAATTAAATGGTCGCTCTAAACAAAAGGCATATTGGCATGATATATCTTATCATTAAAATTAAGAATTTAATTGAACAGATATTTAGGTATTGGTATTTAAATTCATTTAATTTTTATTATATCTGAATTCATTTAATTATCTATTTTAAATTTTATTACTGTCTGAATCCATATCTAAATTAATAATATTATCTATTAAAATATTTGTTTATTTAATTTTTTTACCAAAAAAATAAAATAAAATTTAAATTTACCCTTAATTAATCACAAATAAAAGTTGCATGTTAAGATTTGAATCAATGCACAAGAATAAAATTTTACATATTTTACATATATAAACAAATAATATATTAGGTATCCAATATTATCTATTAAGATTATGTTTGGTGTATAAGATTATAATAAGATAAAATAATATAAAATTATAGATAAGATCGATTAAATTATATTATCTTATATTATGTTTGGTGTATGCAAATATTAAGAATAAGATAAAATATTATTTTATCATTTATCATATTTGTTATATACAAGATTAATATTAGGATAGGATGATATTTTTTATTAGTCAAAATTACCCTTTATATACTCATTTCATTTTTATGTAGTCATAAGTGATATAATTTCTCAATTATTTTTTTAGAGATCATCTATCAATTAATTAAAGTTGCCCAAATACCTTTTTAATTGATAAATTCTTTCAATAATTTTGATTAAAAAAATATTCATAATAAATAAATAGATACATCAAATAAATTATAAATAAATATAAATTCAAAATAAAATTATATATTATTTTATATTAGAAAGCTTATAGCTTATAGTTTAAAAAATATCAAAGTTTGAATTACAAATTACTTAGATAGTTTAAAAACTATCAAAGTTTAATTTTTATGTATTCACTCTCCATCGATAGAGAGTGAAGAATATTTGGATAGTAGAGAAAATTTCAAATACTTGATAATTTAAATTTAAGGATAAAATAAAAAATTCATTATTTAAAAAATATGATAAATTATTTAATCTTATGAATTAAAAATAATTCTTTACTTTTTCAAAGAATAGAGTTATCTTATTGGAATAGAATACTTAATCATTTCAATAATCTAATCTTTTTATTTAAATGCATAACAAACATATGATAGGATAATTAACATCCTATCATTGAACTAATCTTATATGCCAAATATAGTCTAAAAAACTTAAATAAATTGGATATTCAATAATCAATAGATACTATTTGAAACATATCTAAATCTGTCATGAATAATGAATTTATTATTTGAATTCATGAATTATTAGATATAATTAATAAATTAGATAATCTTATATATCAATTTATTTGCTTTCCATCACCATCCCTATTTTCATTTAATAAACTCTTTTGCTTTTTGCTTTTTATTTTTGTAAAATAAAAAACTAAAAACGAAAGTATTTATCAAACAAAGCCAAAGTTGCTTTGCCTGACCAACCAACAAACTAGTCGAAATGTTTTGACTTTAAGGAAGAAAACCAATATTAAATAGAATAAATTATTAGGCCTATGTGCATCTCCTATCTCAAATCATACGAGTACGAAAAAATGAAAAACAAAGGCTAATTAAGGCCAGTTGTAGACAAAATGTAGGTTGGTAAAACCATATAACAAATTAAATACATCACTAAGGTTAGATTTAGATTCCACTATATTTTTTGTATAGTATGATTGAGTTTATCATATTACTAATTAAATTTAAACGTCAATTTTAATGAGATTCATTCGATATAAAATTTTTATTAAATTTTTTTATTTAATTACAGATATAATATTTTTTTTTAGTTGCAGTTATAATAATAATTATTATTATTTTTAATTTTGCCGAAGTTAATCTTATAAATGAAGTCTAAATCAACATTATGCAGTCACAATTGCTTTTATTTTTACAAACTAAAGTCATAATCTGAACCAATTAAAAACATTTTTATTTTTCGATCACTGCAAAGGTCGGTTGGCGTATTTGATTGGTTCTTCAAATAATCTACTCCATTTAAATAAAGATTTTATTGCTTTCTTGATTCCATTGACAATTGATGTCCTCTTAATCTCCATAATCCTTAATCTAAAGTTTCACTCGCAAAATGACAATTTCAGTGTAGTAAGAATCTTTCCTATCGATCATCCAAATGATGCATTTAGATTATGAGAGACTTTATATGACGTAAAGGGGAGTGATGAAAGCAATATTCCAAAATCAAAAGTAGCCCAACGAAAACAATCAAAAATATAAAATTGGAAGCACCCTTGAAACATGTAGAAACCATTTTAATTTTTAAGGATCTCATCAAGGAGACGACAACGGGATTAGTTAGTATGATTTTTTGCTTTTTTAAAATTCGGTTTGATTTTATAAGTTTAATATCTAAATTCGATCCAATTTTAAATTAAAATAATATTTTTATATTTGAATCTAACTCAATTCACATATGTTTAAATTTACAATTAATTTGATTCGATTTAAAATTAATAAATTATTATTTTAAATATAAAATATTATTTAATATTATTTTTAAATATAAATATAAAATTAAATTAAAAATTAAAAAATAATATACTGGGGTAGGATGGGATGGATTTGCGTAAAATTGGATCCAATTTTTTTTCAAGAATACTCAACTCAAAACCTGAAAAAAAAAAAAAAACAATCCTATAAAGTTAAGTCAGGTCCCAACCCAACGAGTACTGTTTGGATTGACAACCCTAATCCCATAGATCCATCTACATAGATGCAATATTGAAATACCATTTTAATTTTTGCCATCTGGGAATGAAACCAATGTATATGTTAATGAAATTAATTATTAATAAGGTTTAACAGGGCTGATTGAAGGGAAAAAAAGTGGAGTCTTTCCAATAATTGCCATATTATTGGAGAAAGAAGTTCAGAAAGTGATAAGAGGCAGAGGGATAATATGATCAATCTGCAAAGACTTGGGACGACGCTTACATAAAGAAAGTTGACAGCAGCGTGGATATATTTAAGACAGTGAGAGAAGAAACAATTGGTAAACATTTATGTAACAGTTAAAAAAATGAAAATCCGATGCGTAAAGCTCCGTTATGTGCAAATCCCAAAAAAACACATATCAACTTGGCCACTTTGGGAAAGCCACCATGGACGATCTTGTATCATCATCGTTAGTGTTTTGAAGCAGTAGAAAAATTGGGTTTTCCTTTTTCCTTAAGCCAGGCCAAGACATGTGACGCCCTACTTATCGATTATGTTATGCTCTTGTCTGAGTTCTGATCTATTGGTTCCATCTCATGAAAATTATTAAATTTTTTTTATAAAACTGATGGAATCCATGAAATCAAAATTAATTTAAAAAACAACGTGCTACTTACATCAATAGCCGGCCATTGGAAAAATAAAGGCACTATATGTTATTTTATGTGATTAAAATATATTTGGTTTTAAATAATTAATATTATAATAATCAATAT